AGCCACTAGCCAGAGTCTGAACACTTGGGGAGCATCATGATATGCATGCCAACAGCCCCTCACGCATAATCTCCCAGGATTACACTGGAATCTTGCCCCCAAGAGGCTTCTAAATTTCTAGAAATCCAAGGAAAATAAGTTCCCTTTATTTGCTAGAAGTCTGTTCAATGATAGTGTCATGAAACTGGTTTGGATCTCCAGAATTTAAATAAGGACCAGTTCTCTCCTTCTTATAAACAGAAATGCAACTCTATGTAGATATTTATCATGAATATTTCACAGAACACTGGCCTGAAACTAGTGACTAAAAATGAAAGCAATACAGTAATCTGCTCAGATGCTGTACTGAAATTGTCTCAATTCATCCCTTAAGTCCAAACCAGAAACCAAGTGCTGGTCTCTCATTACGAAGGCTTGCTCTGCTGTATATTGACCCTCAACTGCCATCTAAGGCCGTCTTGCATAAAATGTGAGCATCCTGGATTCCAGCCCTGCACAACTCCATTAAGTTGTAAATGGGTTTTATTTGCTGAACAAATGTTAATGCCATCCTACCTTAATAGATAATGCTGCAAAATCACCTAAGTACTACAGCACTGGAACTTTCAGGATGAAATATTATGTAACTTAGAAAACTGTCTGTTATAAACATATGTCAGCCATGAGGGCTTCCAGCCCTTATAGCCCATCTTCATAGAACTCAGTTATAATTTCTCCCTTGGTCAAGTGAATTTTGCAATAATACATAGATTTATTAGGTCCCAGGATTAAATTCTCTGAGTAAGAATAAAAAATAATTACACTTGAGAACATAATGGAATATTCAAATGATGTGAAAATAGTCACCTCAGCGAAAATAAGACAGGTGAGAGAAAAAGAAGTTTCAAGATAAGGTTGGTAACACTGGCCATAAAAACTGTGAATTCAAGTGCACAAATGCATGAACTGGCACTTCCGAATCATGAACACGTGGAAAGGAGAAATCTCCCATTCACAGCAAAATGCCTGAGTGGTTTCATTAATGAGCCAGGGGGCTTCTTAATTTAATAAAACAGCAGCGTTGTTAGAGAGAGAGGGTGCTGGTGCAAGATGGCGTTCGTTAAAATCCCAGCCCTACTACTTACTAACTCTGTGACCTTGGGCAAGCTGTATTTAACTCCTTGCCTTGGTCACTTCATCTGTGATACAGGGATGTCAGTAGTGTCTGCCTCCTGCGGTGGCTGTGATGGTTCAATGTGTTAACACATGCAAGGAACATAGTGTCTTAGATGTCATAAATGTTAGCTCCTTATCATTTGGTAGTTGTCACTATAGGATTTACTGCAAATGAAAAGGGACCTGAATAGAAACCAGAGCCTTGCCTCACAAGAGGTCTCTGAACTCACTGATTCCATTTCTTTCAAGTCCGGATCCCGCCCAGTCCCCTCCACAGAACCAGCACTCCAGTAGGTCATCAATGACCCTTCTGTGGTCCAGCCCACTGGGTGACTCTCTATCACCATTTCTCTTGAAACTCTCTTCTCATGGATTCTGTGACTTTTCACTGTCACGATTCCCCCTCAGCTTCTCTAGTCACTCCCTCTCACTTCCAGTGGATCTTCCTCTTCCTGGCCTTGAAATGTTAGAATGTAGAAGCTCATTGCTTCTCAGTCTCTAGTCCCTTTCCAGGCAAATTTACCCACTTCTATGGCTTCATTACCAACATGCTAATTATGTTGGCCTGCAGCTCAGACCTCTGCTCTGAGCTCCAGACCTGTGAGTGTCCATTTACGTTCTCCATGCTACTGAAATGTCTCAAAGGCACTTCAAACTCAACATGTCTAAAAACTGATTTGTAACTTCCTCCTTCCCCCTGAAAGCAGCATCTCCCTCAATGTTCCCATGTCTGTCAGTGCCCCACAAAGCACCTCTCACCTGCACAGTGGCAAGAGCCTCCCACTCCTTCTTCCTTCTTCCCCTCAATCTATTCCCCACAGCAGCCAGAGTGGTGCATTGAAATTGCAAACCTGATCACACCTCTCTCTGCTCAAATCTTTCAGTGCCTCCCTGTGCTCACGGGATCTAGAACACCACTGAGAAGGCACAGCATATTGGGCTTCTCCTGCCTAGCTCTATCCATCTGCTCTCTAGCCATTCTGGCCTTCACTGTCCTTTCTGAGTCTCTAACCAGCCAAGCTCCTCCATTTCCTCTGCTTGGAACTCCCACTGTTCTTTTCCTAAGGCTGATTTCCTTGGGAAAGCTGTTCTTGACCCAAAACTAGGTCATGTATCCAAGAGTAAGCTCTCATAAAACCCTGAGTAATTATCATAGCTGACATTTTACATTTATGCATAAGATTTAAAAACTGTTAGTGTCTATATCTTCGGGTACACTGTTGGCTCTAAGAGGGCAAGAGGTCATGTCTGCCTGGCTAACTGCTGTTCTCCCAGACCTCCCACTTGGAGAGGGTACCCTAATACTTGTTGAAGGAATATCTCAATTTTCATCATTTGGGGGCATTTTTCATGACCCTGCTGTTCCTTCACAATAAGGGAGAGCCACTTAAATACAATGGCTGCAAGTAACAAGAATCTCTGATGCCCTTGATCACAACTGGTTTACCTGAGCTGATCACAAGGGGTGAGAAACTGACAAGGAAAGCTAGGCTCCACAAAGAGACCCAGCACCAGAAACACCAGTACATTATGGGGACCCAGCACCAAAAACACCAGTACATTATGCCCACGACTTAGGCAAATGGAATGTTTGTAAGCGACCACAATTATATTCATCTTCCTTTAGAGATTCTTTCAGTCACTCACTCATGTATTTATTCACTCAACAAAATTGTGTATTCTACGTGACAGACACTGGGGCCATGGTGTGGAAGCAATCCTGATGTCTGATGGATACACAACAGATACGATAGGCTGTAACTGAGAAGGAGCCCTGTGCTTGCATTTGAAAGACAGGACATGCCTAGGATAAGAGGGGAAAGACGATCTTGGAGAATGACTAGAGTGAGAAGGCAGGAGACAGCCATAAAAACAGTCTAGGAAAAACTGGGAGCACAAACACGCTCCTCTAAGAGGTCCCTAAATGCCGACTACTACTACTAATACCTTAGGCTGACAGGTGAGGATGGAGACAAAGGCTCCCCTGGACAATACCAGCACCACCATTACCTCTGCTTCCTCCAAGTCTATAGTACTCCCATCCTGGACCACTGCTCAAGGAAGAGTGGAACCTTGAGAGAGATCAGCTGTCTTCCAATGATGGCATCATCTCCACTGCCGTTAAACTTGCATATGCATATAAATCAATCATCTGGTTGGTCCAGGCTTCCCTTTTGTTCCATGCTTGATTCAGGTGGGCTGTGGCAGAGGCAGACCAGTGGTATGATGTACTAGGGGTCAGTTATCGTGGGACGGTAGGAGGGGGCCAGGGATGTGTAAGGCTCTTATCAGCTCTCTTAAGAAAAAAAGAAATAATGCTTTAAACTTTTGGCTGCAGCATTTAGTTTTATTCTAAGTGAATTTTACATTATCTAAACTATATCTATTTGGTACTTGAATTACTTAAGCTCTTATTCAAACTTTGAGCTTTGTTTGGAGTATGGAGAAGAAAGGTCACATGATAGATTTCTTCCATATCCTCAGAAAAGATAAGAAAGAGTAAGAAGGGTTAGGGTTTTTTAAATAGCAACACTAAAGTGGGGACTGATGTGTTCTGGTATTATCAATTTGCAGATGTAAGCACCATAACCAATCAAAGGAAGATGACCTAAACAATGAATATCTGGACCCAAACACGAAAGCTTGTTGAAAGAGAAAAACAGGAACAGTGTATCAGCATTTTACACTCTGTTGTTTAATCTGATACAAAGCCCCAAGAATGGGGAAAACATCAATACAAAATACAACGTATATTTTGCTTAACATATACTTAAATGCCAGAAATGAAGCTACCCATACTGACAAGTGTTTTCTATATAAATCTCTGCCAGAAAAACAAAAATCAGCATGAATTCAATGACTCAAACTTCAATTAATTATTTTGATCAACTTGAGAGTTAAAAGATTTATTTGTAACATAATGCTTTCCAAAAAAAAAAATTCTTGCCTCTGAAAACAATTTGACAATTAATGTAAAATTTTAAACCAAATAATTATTTTACTGTAATTCGCTAGCAATTCAAGAAAAGTACAGAGGATGTCCAAAACCTAGAAACATATTAGAATTAAGGTCTTTTCTTTATAGGGACTTGCCATACCATCTGGCCTAATTTGCCTTGGTGTTTTGCCTCGTGTAGTATCAGCTTTCTGAGAACTGTAAATTATTAGGTTATACCCCTAAAAAATATGAGTGAAGAAAAAATATGGGTTGAAAGTGACATCCTGCTTATAAGTTTGGATACTCAGGAAAACACTGATATGGTGGAACAGCCCGACCTATGTGAACCTGCGTGTGAAATGGTTCACAGAGGGTAGAGGGCATCTGCTAGAGATGATGATGATGAAAAGGACAGGCTTACAGAAGTAACCGGCAAAACAATAACGTGTGAAACAACACAGAAATAAATTTTCAGACGCTCAGACACCTCTTTGTTGGAGTGATTCTGATTCCAATTAAGTTTCAGAGGAAAAATAACAAGGCCGCCCTGCCTGACTGCAAAGCACAGCCTTCTAAATAGGAGGCTGATTAATGGGGGCAGCAAACATGCACACAACCGTATTTTTCATCTCAGCTCTGTTCTTCTGTCTTCTGGCTGATCACTTTAATATGGTGTTACCTCGGCCCATGCAAAGGCACCAGACTGAGGTGTAGCTCCTAGGTTTCTTACAAGAACCGTTGTTTTGTAAAGTGTCATTTAGGCAACTCATGTGCTCACCCTCAGCAAAGGTAAACATCAAACAACAAACAAACAATGGGCTCCCTTTGACGGTGCAGCCATGTGACTCCTTCTTATTTGGAATCTACATCCGACCAGGTGGTAAAATGTGTAAAAGAATATCCTTACCCTGATGATCTCTTCCACACAGCTGTTGGTTTCTCCAGATCTACTCTCCTGAAAGCAAAGGAAAAAGAAATTCAGCCTCAGAAACTAGATTTATGGTTACAAAGAAAAGAAGACACATAAGCTTCCAAACTTAACCGAGTTTGGACTGGAGAACACCCAAATGGGGACCTGCCAAGAAGTTCCTGTCCTTTCTGGGGTAGATCCCATCATGGATGTGACTGCTCTGCCTGTCCCACTGTGCACCATGAACAGGCCAGCAGCACCGCACACGCCGCAGAGGCCAACTCTGGGGCCCCCACCACAGTGACTGCAAGCTGCACAGGCCCTTAGGAGAGCAGGACATGACCAGCAAGTATGAGCGCTGCTCGCCTTGGGTTCCATCAGGTGCAGAAACACGCCCCCACTGCCAAGCGGATCCAGCCAGCCTACTGAACACATGCGACGGCCCTGCCAAATGCGAGGTAAAGGTCTGGCCACTCCACTGTCCTCAAAGCCTAGATTTATTGGTTTGATGGGCCAAAACCTGAAAGACTAAGGAAGAACAGCCTCTCAACACTTGCAAAGCATGCTGGTGCCACGTGCTCAGAAGCCCACGCTGCCCTGGGCCGTGAGGATGTTAGGGGCTCCGAGGAATGGTGGCTTCAGGTCACAGCTCTGGGGAACGCTGTCAGTTCCAGAGATGCTGTGTGGTTGCTGTGGGTTACATGGCCCGGAGTACAGGAGTGGTTCTGCGGGGACATGAAAGCAGCTTTTGCTGGTAGAAGTGCCTAGTGCGGTTTCAGAGAGATACTTCTCTTGGCCTTTTAGTTCAATGACACTGACCACGACTCAGCATGATGTCCTCGGCTTTCATCACCCTGAATGGAGACATCAGGCCCAGTAAACAGTGTCTCCCCATTCCTTCCTCTCCCTGCCCTTATTACTACTAATCTACTTTTTGTCTCTGAATTTTTCTATTCTGAATATTTCATATAAATGAAATCATACAACATGTGGCCTTTTGTGTCTGGCTGGTTTCACTGAAGACAATGTTTTCAAGACTCATCCATGCTATAGCGTGTATCAGTACTTCATTCCTTTTTATGGCCAAATAACATTCCAGTGTGTACATATATATATATGTATATATATGCACACACACACACATACCACATTTTGTTTATTCATCAATCAATGAATATTTTGGTTGTTTCCACTTTGGTTACTATGACAGGACGTCTATGAACATTTGTGTACAGGTTTTTGTTTGAACCTTTCAAATTCTTTTTCAATTCTTTTGAGTATATAACTAGAAGCCAAAGTGGTGGCTCATATGGCAAATCAATGCTTAGTTTTTTGAAGAACTGCTACACTATTTATTACCCTGGCTGTACCATTTTTCATTCCCACCAGCAATGTGTGAAGGTTCTAATTTCTCTACATCCTCTCCAGCAAATGTTATTTTCAGGTTATGTTTTCGATAGCAGCCATCCTACTGGGTGTGAAATGGTATCTCACTGTTGTTATGATCTGCATTTTCCTAATTACTAATGATGTTGGCCATTTGCAAAGGAGAAACATCCTTTGCCAATTCTTCATTTGTGTTGTTTGTCTTTTTATTGTCTTGTTTTAAGAGTTCTTTATATATTCTAGATACTAGCCCCTTATCAGGTGTATGGTTTGCACATATTTTCTTCCATTCTGTGGACTGTATTTTCGCATTCTTACTAGTGTTCATGAAAATTTTAATATTGATGACGTTCAATCTTTCTGCTTTTTTTCCTCCCTTTATTGCTTTGCTTTTGGTGTCACATCTAAGAAGCCATTTCCAAATTTCAGGTTATAAATATTTACCTATGTTTTCTTTTAAGAGTTTTACAGTATTAGTTTTTATATTTAGGCCTTTAATCCAATAGTTTGAGAACTTTTAGGTGAAGTCTATTTCTTATAGATTATTTGCTAAGTTTTAGTTAAAATAAAAAAAAATCATCTTTGTATAGATTACTATATTCTAGTCTTATTATTAAAAGATCATTAAAAAAAGTGTGAGGCATGGCAATTGTTGCTAATAGTGCATGAACACAGCATACATGCATTATCTTACAAATCAAGAAAAACAGTGTCAGATATCATGACAGGATTAAGAGGCCCAAATGCTTTTACTACGCTTTCATTCCTTTCCTACACTCATCCCTCTTTCTGTTTTCCTAAAAGTTCCTGTTTGGAGATGCACATCTAGCAAACCTCACTCCCATCCCCAATGACTTATCTCAGAATGCTCTGGAAATGTCACTGTTCTGATACTCCAATCAAACTGGAACCAAGAGCACTTTCTGGAACCTGTTCCCAGCCTGCTTCCTTTCCAGGGCCGCCTCAGGAACCACCACAAAGCTGTTGGAAAGTCCTCGGTGAGGCAAGGGGCTCCATGCTCCTTTGCAGCTCAGTGGCGGAAATAACTGGAAAATTTTTCTTCAAACCCACAACCATTTCTCTTACCCTCCCTTCAAGTCCCAGCCCTTTCTTCCTGTGTAATACACTGGCACAGCAAATGCTAAATTCTCAGTGTACTTTCTATTTTACATCTTAAAATGATTGATGAAAATGTGACTTCCTGTTCTCCTGGTGGACTCACTCAAGTATCCAACATACTAAGAAGACTCCTCAAATTAAACTTGGGGTTTGATTCCATGAAGCTAAGCTTCTCCTGAATACCACACTTGAATTTCATTTGAAAAGATTTATACAAAAGGCAGGTGCTCTTCTGAGTATCTGCCCCTATAATCTTCTACATTTCCACAACTCTACTCCAAAAAAGGGATGCACTGAGAGAAATGCAGTATAGACACCCTGTTCAAAGTCCTCTCACCACTGTAGATGACATGCAGGATATTACTTTGGGTCATCTCAGTGGCAGCTCCAACCACGAGTTCTCATTGTCTGGAATGACATCAGGTCATTCTCTACTGGGAGGGCCACTCATAAAGCTGAAGAGGGAGAAGTGAAGCCAATTCAGAGGGCTGCCACCAACAGTCTCAGGAAGTCCTGGCCTTCAATTATGGGATGGATAATCCCTTGTAGAGGAAAATCTTGGGCCTTCTCTGGGACATTCTTGGCTCCTGGGGACACCTGGGGACCTAAGGAGGGTACCACATCTGGATTGGAGTGGATGCAGGAGGCAGAGTATTATAGGAAGTTTGATTTAAAAGGAACTTAAAGCTCATTTTAGACCAACTCAGCGGCTTTAACAGATGGAGCAACCATGGTCCAGAGGCACAGAGGGCATTGTTATCCAAAGTTGCCTGGCAGCAGATGGCAGTTGAGGTGGAACCCCACGCATGTCTTCAACAGCAGTTCAGTAAATTTTCTACTGTCTCATGCTATCTCTCTAAGCTCAACCCTTAGAACTGGCTCAACTAGAGGTCATTCTCATACTTAAAGTATGGAAATAAAAGACCCTGGATAGTATTTGGGTAAATTTCCTCATCCTTTCTATGCTGCAAATTCCCCAACGCTTAGTCAACTTGTGTCTTACTCACTAATCTCCAATATCACATGCATAGACTAGAGGAAGAAGTGACAGGAGAGGAAGTGGGGAGAAAAGGTTAAAACTACCATTCCTTCTGTGACACTAACAAATGAGAGACAAGGATTGGTGCTCAGCAATCGGAGGACAGAATTCCATCCCTTCTTTTCCAAATACGCAAAAGGGGGTAGGTGGGTAGGGCTGGGGTGGGCAGGGGTGGAGTGGACGTGACTGGAGGGCCTTTCACCTTCTTGAGGTCTTTCTCAAACCTGGTTTCAGCCGTAGTTGTGTACTTTGATTATATTTACATTTTAAAACTTTCAGTGTTTATGAACAAGATTAAAACATGCATATAATTTACATCTCTAAATTTGTGTTTATATTTTTTACAATGAAGTTACTGCTTTCCTTGGAAAGGTACCCACTGAGAAGGAGGGCTGCACAATGCAAATTTTAATTACTCCGCATTTTTTGAGGGGCTGTAGCTGTTGCTTCATGCTGAGTTGCTGAGCCGTTGCTCAGTATTTACTCTGACTTTGATGAACCCACTCCATTTTGCTATCATTACATTTTGAAATCTGTCATAACAGTCTCACCTCATTGAACTTCCAACTAAACTTCAATTAAAAGCTAGCAACCCCAGCTCATTTTCCTCTCTACAGCCTTGTCTGTCACATTCCCTTTTCACTGAACTGCTTCTCCCAAATCCTACCACTTAAGAATGCACACCACACACTCTGCCAGGGAGGAGGAAGGAGCTGAGTACTGCTGGTCCTCGGATGATGTCGCTTCGTTCAACATCGTTTTGTTATAATGCTGATGAGATGCCATACGGACTTAACTCTTGTTTATATCAATTAGCTTGTGGTAAAATTTTGTTATGGATTGTTTCACTTAAAGTCACAGGACCTACTGATGACTAAGTGAGGGCTTAGTGTATAGCTCAAGAAATAGCCAGGAACGTGCTGTCACTGAGAGCAGAAGTCCCTAATTACCATGCCAAGCACAGAGCACTGGAAGAAGCAAGCACGGCTTAAGGAGAAAAGGCTCCATCAAATCAGTGGGAAATGGCATTCCACTGCAGAAGAGATGAAGCTGCACAGGTCCTATTTTCAAAAACAGTTTAACTCTTCGTCAGGCACATTTAATGCGAAACTTTCATTCTAAAATAATATTATTTTAAAGTCACAACACCTTTGTCTGCAAGTACTCAACAGGCCCTCAGGCATTTAAAAACTTTATCACATGCGCGCTCTTAAAAACAAGTGTTTTAAAATAAGTCTTACTATTCCTGATTTACAGAAGAACTGGGATACAAAGAAATTAGGCATGCCATCAATGCCATTAAAGCAGTGGGCAAGGATCTGTGTTCAAATTCAGGAATCATCATAATTCTATGTGAAATCCCACCCAATGACTGTGTCCCAGCCTCACCTGAAGCTAGGGTCACCTATAAACAAGGAGGTTGCCAGCCAGTTTTCTTCCAAATTCAGCCTATCATACGTCCAACCTAGCACCTCCCCTTCCAAGGGCTACTCTCTGATCC